TCAGAAAGTCAGAAAAGGATCATCTTCAGAAGTTCAATGGGCATCTCAGTATTTTTCCATAGTTTGGGAACACAAGGACTTTAAGATTCTGACCAATTGCTTTACTTATCATTCTATAGCCTTAAGATTTTGCTTATTTTGATTAAATTTTAGAGTGATTTCTTTGTGTCTCTATTCTCCTGTTTTAATCAAATAGACTAAGGACAAAACCTTCTTTACCTTATGCCATTTCATCCCGAAACATAAAGCTTGGTATTTTGTGTATTTGATCTGTACATATTTACAAATACTCTATTTAGTTTTATAAAGCCAATCTTTCTCAAAAATCTTCTTTAAGAGGGCTAGCACCCTAGTTCCTTTTCCTATTGGGGGATGGGAGACTCAATCTCATGGGTTTCTGGATGCACCCATACTATCTCTTCCTCTTTGAAAGCTAAGAAAGACTGCTTTTCTTTGGGGGAAGGACAGAGAGCAGACACTTATGTCATATGAGTTCACTATCCCTTCCTCTGCTTCTGCCAGCTCCCAGGCTGAGGTCTTAGCACTGTCCTCATTGATATTGCCCTGGGTGATTTACTCATTTTCTGCTCATCTTTTCTGGCTAAGTGCTTCTGCTTTTGACAACATGCTTCCTAATTTCCCCAAAATTATAACATCTTAAGTATTTGTATAGATTCTATTATATTTGGAAGCATGGGGTTGCTATTTACACCGTGAAAGCAAAGGAAGGGCTCTGCCAATATTTACTAGTTAGGAGAGTGTAAAACATTAATTCCAATCAAAGTTCCCAAAAGTTAGACTTAGAAATAGGAAAGAACTTATGGGTGGGATTTGGGGTCTAAACCTTTCCATTTCTCCCACATCATACGGTCCACTTCTAAACAGGGTTCAGTAGAAAATGGTCCCAACTCCTTCAAAAAGTCTCTGACCTGAGCTGGAGAGATTGTTGAGTGGTTAAGAATACTAGGTCCTCTGCAAGAGTACCAGAGTTCAATTCCTATCACCCACATGACAGCTCTAATCTTTCTGTAACTAGTGCCAGGGGATCCAGCAGTTTTTTCTGGTTCCCACAGGCACAGGCATGAACATGGTGCACAGAAATACATATAAGTAAAACGCCCATACACCTGAAATATAACTGTATGAAAATGTCCCTTGCTTGGAATTTTTGTATATGAAACAATTTATTCTGGTGGCAATTTTGATGAACACCAGTACTGAAACTTTTCCTGTATCATATGCAAGTATTTCATACGTAATGTAATTATATACTTTCTAAGAGGGCATTCTGGCCACATTTCTTTCTGGTCTTAGTGTCCAAAAACTAGTGTTTTGTGCTGAGTACATACTGTTCTGTTTTCTAATAAATGCTAGAAATCACGTCACTTGTGAGGCTTTTCTGCAATCCTGCTAGAAATAAGAGCAAAGCATCAGACTTGTCAGGGAGAAGTCCTGGAAAGAAGCTTTGTCTACAAAGACTGATTGACTAGTTAGAACCAGTGGTATGGCAACAGGGGTTGGATTGTTGTGGGCTCAGAGGCTTCATACTATAAAACTTGGGCTAGCTTTCATCCTCTAATAATCCATTCCTTCAACACTTCCACGTCTGAATTAACTGATAGATACAAACCTTTTGGCATTTATGAGCTTAGCAGACTCCTAGTTTTCACTGACCCCAAAGTTAAGAATGCCATCAGATCACCTGAGCAAAGCTTTGTTCATCTTACTTTATCTCTCTGATGTATCAACTAATGTATTTTAAACTTGTGCTGATTGATGATCTTTTTTATTCTACAATAACATATAATGTTTGGGGTAACATGAATCTGTCTCCCCAGGCCATTATCTTTTAAATCTGGTGACAGAATAAACACTTATTTCCTTTCATGTGAAAGCTGTGTATTTGTATTGACAGTCTAAAGACAGCAGTGATGGGAATAAAAGATGAGACATGCTTTGCCACCTTTAGGTGATAAAAAATCATTAACTTTCATTCTAGCTTTTACTTGCATCTAAATTCTTGTGTGCTCCTAACATCTGTTCAAACACTCTCCATGACAAGCCAACAGGTCTAACACGTGAGGTAGCAGAAGGCAGAGTGGACTGACCTTCATTAATTTTAACAGAGCCTTCAGGAATAATTCGTTTTGGAATCCGTGCATCACTGTGGTGATATAGGACAGGATCTCCCTGAGCTTTCTGTCAGTACCTGTTGTAGTAGGCAGATAATGACAGGCAATGACGTCAAAGCAGGATATGAAGTAAAGAAGAACATTTGGAAATAAATTAATCTTCCATGTAGATATAAACAACAGAGACAACTGGAGTGATTCTATGCAGTGAAAAAAAAAACATTAAAACTAAGTATAAAGAAAAATAAATCCAATAGGATGTTGCTCATGTTTGAATAATAATGCAGAATTACCAGATGAGACATAGGGCAAATGATGGTTGATCCATCGAAACCCATTCCTCTATAGAGAGGATGGAAAGGAGGCAGCATTATAAAGTTGTAAGAAAATACAGAGTAAGTAGATGTGTAACTGGCCATCCAGTATGATACAGATACACAATCCTCATTCAAAAACCATTCATTTTCAGAAAGTTCAAGCTTTCCTGTGAAAATAGCTTCCAGCTAAAAAAATGTGGGGAGGCACACAGAAAGATATTAATTTTTTCAGTAAAATGAAGAAAAGAGAAACATGAATTTCATGGTTGGCCTTAGCAGCAGTTAGGTAAAAAGTAGCTATTTACAAAGAGTTTGAGATGGATAGAGTATATCACAGTTCATCATATCTTCACTTTCCCCCAAAGGAGTTAATTTTTCTTAGATTTATTTGTTGTCCTGGAGTCACATAAATATTTTGGTTATTTCATAGATATTTTTGTTTCAGTCCACTATTTATTATAGAAATGTGTATTATTCAAGTAGCTATTAATCATATATTAACACTAAATCCTATTTAAAAGGGCTTAGCTATAAACTGTCTCATAGAATTCAATTGTTTCATAAAATGTTGTAGGAGTCTAATGTTAATAAACATGTTAAAGCTCTCTGTGGTTTTGGTTATACATCTGAGAACTGTGAATGTCAGTTCAGTTAATCTTGGTCAAAGAATTCTTCTGTTCAACAAATTTCAAACTAAATATGTTATTACTTACCTACTCAAATTATTTCATGACTGAAAAAGTTAAGGTATTATTAAAATTATTAAAAAAATTTTTACATCTTCAAATAACTCAAGTGTTGGATGAATTAAGTAAAACTCAAAAGAACATCTAATTAAAAGTAACAGATTGAGCAGATTGTACTTATGAGTGTGTACATATATGTGTGTATACATATATATGAATATGTATATATATATATGAATGTAATAAAAATTAGTAGGAAAAAGGCTATGAATTCAAAAGATAGTAAGGAGGGGTGTATATGGGAGGGCTTGACTGGGGGGGGAGATGAGACACTGAATGATGTAATTATAATCTCAAAATATGTTTGTTTTTTTTTAATTTAAAAAGTGAGAGTCCCAAGCCAATTCCCAGCTTCAAGTATCCTTAATGAGATATATCCATTGGTGGGTTAGCACTGAAGTCCTTGGCTTATTATTGGTGTGCTAAGACACTGACTGCGAGTTTCAGAGAAACATGGTCAGCATAAACATGTAAACCCAATGGTAATGGTGCACGCCTCTAATCCCAGCACTTGAGAGGCAGAGGCAGGCAGATCTCAGTGAGTTTGCGGCCAGTCTAGTCTACAAAGCGAGTTGCAGGACATACAGAGCTGTTACACAGAGAAAACTAAAAAAAAGAAAAATTGTAAATGAACATCAGTAAGCACATACTAAATATTAATAAGGTAGCCCTTTCCCAGAACTTTCTCAAAACAGACCAATTTGAGCACAGTTTCCTGGTATGTACTACAGATTATATCTGGGAAAGCATGAAAATAAAGCAGGAGGCCATACTCAAATTCAGGGTACATTGACCAAATTGAGTTCTATAGCTATATTCTGACATTGAACAAGAATAAACATGTCTTATGAATTGAATGCAAATGTTTGACACAGGAGGCACAGAATCATGTCCAAGAACAATCCAGGGAATAGAACGCACCTGAGGTAAAAGGCCCTCTGCCTTTTTTCCCTAGAGCCTTTCTTAGTTTTCCAAGACTTTGTTCACCGTACGTCATGCTTTTGACTCTGTTCTGACATCCCTCATCAAAGAGGGATTCTTTTTGTTTTTGTTTTTACTTTTATTATTATTTATTTTACATACTAAGCACAGTTTCCCCTCACTCCTCTCCTGTCGTTCCCTCCTCTCACCAAATTTCTACCCCAACCCTATCCACTTCTAAGGCTTCCCATGGGAGTCGACAAAGCATGGTATATCAAGTTGAGGCAGGACCAAGCTCCTTCCCCCTTTATCAAGGCTGAGCAAGGCATCCAACTATAGGGAATAGGTTCCAAAAAGCTAGCTCATGCACCAGGAATAGATCCTGGTCCCATTGCTAGGGTCCCCATAAATAGAGCAAGCTACACAACTCTCACCACGTGCAGAGAGCCTAGGTCCGGTCTATGAAGGCTCCCTAGCTATCAGTCTAGATTCCATCTGTGAGCTCCCACAAGTTCAGGGTAGAGAGGAGGATATGGGGGATAGGAATATGAGGGATTGGGATGGTCTGGTTGGGGAAAGGATGAAGAGGGGAGCAATGAAAAATATCTGGAAGCCCTCTCTAGCTCTAAGCCTGTGTGTAAGGTCTGGCCCGTAGCGTCCAGCTGCCAGGGGCCGATCCCTGGTGTATGAGCCGCAGGAACTGGCTTCTGGGCCCAGATAAAGGGGCACCCCCACAGCTCTTGGCTGGGCATGAGCAAATCTCCTGCTCCGAGCATGGTTACTTCTTGATACGAACCCGGGGCTGAAATTGGTGTCAGTGTCTAAGGATCGACCATGGACAAAGCCCGAGATAACCACAGTGGCCACTTTGTGGTCCTCAAGAGTGTAAGAGTTCCTAAAGGAGGAGCCTGAGGAAGCCTTCCCATCAGCACAGTTCCTGAGGTGGCCTTACTGAGGAAGTTGGAGGCCTTTGAGCATCCCAGTGTTGTACACCTAATGGATGTCTGTGCTACTTCCCGAACGGACCGAGACATCAAGGTGACCCTAGTGTTTGAGCATATAGACCAGAACCTAAGGACATACTTGGACAAAGCACCCCCACCAGGCTTTCCAGTTGAGACCATCAAGGATCATCTGAGGCGGCAGTTTCTAAGCGGCCTAGATTTTCTTCATGCAAATTGCATTGTTCACCGAGACCTGAAACTAGAGAACATTCTTTTGACTAGTAATGGGAGAGTCAAGCTGGCTGACTTTGGCCTCACCAGAATCTACAGCTACCAGATGGCCCTCACACCTGTGGTTGTTACACTCTGGTACCGAGCTCCTGAGGTTCTTCTGCAGTCTACCTATGCAACACCTGTGGACATATGGAGCGTGGGCTGTATCTTTGCAGGGATGTTTCGTCGAAAGCCTCTCTTCTGTGGAAACTCTGAAGCTGACCAATCGGACAAAATCTTTGATCTCATTGGCTTGCCTCCAGAAGATGATGAGATACCTCAAGAGGTATTTCTAGCCCAAGGAGCCTTTTCCCCCAGAGGGCCTCGGCCAGTGCAGTCAGTGGTGCCGGTAATGGAGGAACCTGGAGCGCAGCTGCAGCTGGAGATGCTGGTTTTTAACCCACATAAGCAGATCTTTGCCTTCCGAGCCCTGCAGCACTCTTATCACAAGGAAGAAAGTGACACAGATTGAGGAGAGCGGCCGCCATTCCTCACCTCTGGACACTTCAAGCACCAAGAACCTCAACCTCTGCCTTCCTCTGGGGCTGTGGAGAGTCCTCCACTTTTTTTTTAAACAGAGAATATTTTAAGCCTTAAATGACATTCTCCACTCCTCTTTATGAGGCTTGCCCTCCCATTTCTCTACACTAAAGGGTGGGTATCTCTGTCTCCTTCCCTCCCTCATTTATATTTGGGATCTGTTTTATACAGCAAAACAAGACAAAGAATATGGCCTTTTTTTCTTAAAAAAAAAGAAAGAAAGAAAGAAAGAAAGAAAGAAAGAAAGAAAGAAAGAAAGAAAGAAAGAAAGAAAGAAAGAAAGAAAAATATCTTGATGGGGGGCGTTGTGTGGTCAGAGGGAAACCTGATGCTGGGGAAACTGTCAGGAATCCACAAGGTTGACTCGAGCTTAGACTCCTAGGAACAGTGGTGAGGGTGCCTGAAACTGCCTTCTGAAATCAGATTGGTGACTACCCTAATTGTCATCATAGCATCTTTATCCAGTAACTGATGGAAGAAAATTCAGAGATCCACAGATAGATCCTTTTTGTAGCAGACAGAAAGCATTACAGGTCCACATATGTGCAAGTCTCAGATATAAAATAACCATGGGTGCCAGTCATCAAATGATACATTAACAGCACAATACGTACCCTTATAGCTCGGGGCCCATTGTAGAAGAGAGAGTAGAAAATTGTAAGCCACAGGAGCAGGGCATCAGGTGAGAGACACCACCAAAAATGAAAGAAAGAGAACATAAAATCAGTATTGCTGGGGCTTAGTAATACTAGGGTGCATCTGGGAGGAATTGAGGGGAGCAACGAAAAGAGAATGTGATCAAGACACACCGTATGAACTTCCCAAATAATTAATAAAATGCTATATTAATGACAAAGAAAACATTTTAAAAAGTTGAAAGTTGAGACAATAAAATTTCAGTACACCAGGAGAATAGTAATTATAATATATACACACCTGCCAATAAAACAGCCTGTGAAAAAAAAACTCGTTAGTCACGTGTGTGTACAAGTAAAAAAACTTTACCAATTATAGTTGACTTTTCCATAACCCAATCACAATACATAAAGGAATAGCCAGAAAATCAGTGTCAAACATTACCCACTTGTCCAGTGATTTATGCGTTCTTCTACCTGTGAATCACAGGTTATACATATTGTGAGTGTAAAACTGAGCAATCTCCATGTGGATGATACCTCAGGTTTACAAGAAAGCCATAGTGAAGTTAATTAAAAAATCAATCGCAGAAAGACATTTAGGGAATTTGCCAATATCTGAAATTAGATAACACTTTTATAAATCACTCACGGGTGAAAAGATCACATAGAAGATAATAGAAAAGATCTTCAGGGGATGGAGATGAACACAGTTGAAAATGTGTACTGAATTAATGAGGGGCTTCAGTTTAAATTTATAGCCATAAGTCTATTTTGAGGGAAAGATGTAATAAAAATCAGTAACCTTGATTGCACATCAAAGAGATTAAAAAAATAAAAGTGACTCAAACCCAACTCAAACACCAGAATTGAGTTCCATAAAAAATAATTTAGAAAATAATGATGATTTTTTTGGAAAATACTAATATTCTGTATTAATATCCAGGCAGACTATCTGGGGAAACAATACATATTACCATAACATGTGGGAAAGAAGGACTAACTCATGTTGCTACAGCAATTTCCACAGGCCATGGGGGAATTATCAACAACTTTGTGTGACCTTATTTTACAGTCCAAGAAGATGTGGGTTACCAAACCTTGACAAGTTAAGAAAATAGACAAGCAATGAAGAAATTGAGCTATAATTAAATAATTTCCCACATAGAAAAACCAAGCATATGCTAGTGATTATGTCAGTTGAAGGAATGATAATTCCAACCAACACACATTCACTTTTACATCAGAAGAAGGTGCATTATTTTTTGTATAATACTATGAGACCAATATAATCTAGAAAGTAAAGTTAGACAGACATGTTTCAATGCCCCCTATCCATGAAAACATGGAAAAGAGTATATATGTTAACACTGATGATTTATCAATTAGGTAACTATTATTGTTTTCCTGATTAATTCATCTATACAATTAAAATATAAATATTTAATAGCAATGACTAAGATAAATGGTGTATGTTTCCTAAGAGTTATTCATTTTGCATACTAAAAATGTACCTGGGAAAACTGAACAATAGCTGCATGAAATATTCATTTGGAGATTAACTTTTAATAATGTCTATGGAACTTGAAGTCTCTATAATTAGAATTAGGAAAGTGATATAAATAAAGAGCTCACAGTATTAATAAGTAAGAAGCAAGAAAGACACTGGAAAGCCAAGTGCCAGAGAAGAAATAGAACATGGTGGCCTTGATGTGTCTGTTGCAAAAATGAGTTCTTCCATTTATATCACCAGTTGCTTTTGAAATTCCGCTGTTTATAAGCTGTTTTGATTACATAATCACATCTAGAGAGACCTAAGGCTGAGAGAGAAAATAATTTGTATTTGTACATTTTACAATGACAGAGGGGCATATAATTTTCCAGAAGTGAGCAAAATTTTAGGTCTGGTGCCCAGCATACACCAAGGATAGATTGCATATTTGAGTGTAGGATGCAAGTTCTAATTCAGCACTGTCAGCTGTCATGACACCCAGATAAATAAAAGGCTCAAAAAACAGTCAGTTCAAGTAGACAAAAGCCAAGTTTCATTATACACCCCTTTCTTAGGCAATTCTGATATTATATATATGATATATATATATCATTAACTCATTTCAAAAAGTCATGTATAAAATATCAACATGAAAATTAATTCAGTATTTTAATGAAGCAGGAGCAAAGTTATTCTTCCTTCACTTCACCCATCCTTCTCCTCATTTTATTGTTCTGAATTGTAGACAGTAACCACATGTAACTTAGTAGGAAAACTCATTTTCTTTAAAATAATGTCTATTTGGCTATTAATATATTCAGATTCTGATTTGAAGACATAATGGGAATTTTCAACTCTTTCATATCTCAAGATGAAAGTAACACATCAGCAGCCACACATATGCCAACAAAATTAATCTCTCCTTCACAGCAGTAGGTACCATGCTGATCCGTATGTCTGGGCAAATTACAAATCTATGTATGTGGGCATAATCTTGGATTTTGCTTCAGAGATAACTCTGAGGCGAAAGCCATAGCAACTGCGGTCTTCATGTCATTCTTCACAACACGGTCAGCCACTTGTGTCAGGAGAGATTTCAAGGCCACTCAGGCTGACCTCAACAATAACAACTGAAGGTTAATTTCAGGGAAAATTAAATACTTATTTTTAGAAAACACAATTAATGTCACAGACATGCATATCAATTACTTTCCAGGGATGATCAGAACACTGGATTTCTTTGGGCTATGTATATGTACATAAAGTGCATATAATGCAGTGTATTTAGTTTGTAATTAAGCAAGTCAGAACTGGAATCCAAACAATCAAATAGATACATTTAAAGGTGAAGAGTATTCATTTGTCCACCTGACTGTTTTTAATGCTTTCCCTTCTGCTTTACTTGATATTCTTGTAAGATTTTTTTTTACCAACTCTTTTATTTTGTGGGTGAGAATTACATTTCCCTCTTGTTTATGCCCATTCGTATTTCTATTGACGTTATATATTTTTGCCACTTCTACAGATTCAAATAACTATTTTAATGAATGTTATTTTAGAATTTTTTAAAAAAATTTAATTATATGTGTATATGTGTGCATGTGAGTGTGGATTTATATACATGAGTAGAGTGCCCCAAAGAGATGTTGGACACTATGAAACTGGAGTAAAAGGCAGTTCTGAGCCTAATGATGTAGTTATTGGAAACTAAATTCTTATGTTCTTCAAGAGCAGTATGTAATCTTAATGACTGAGTAATTTCTCCTGTCATATATTTTACAGTATTTTTTAAAGAGTGAGAATTTTGGACTAGAGAGATTACTTACAGGTTAAATATGTCCATTGATTTATAGAGGGCCTAGATGTGGTCCCCACAACCACATGAAGGCTCATGACTTCCTATAACTCCAGTTCCAGGGAATCCAATGCTGTCTTCTATGGATTTCTGCATGCCTATGATATACTCATCGTATAGGCATACACATATACAAATCAATAAAAACTACATCTTTAAAAAAGAATAGTGGTGCCGGGCGGTGGTGGCGCACGCCTTTCAACCCAGCACTCAGGAGGCAGAGGCAGGCGGATCTCTGTGAGTTCAAGGCCAGCCTGGACTACCAAGTGAGTCCCAGGAAAAAAAAAAAAAAAAAAAAACCAAAAACAAAAACAAAACAAAAAAAAAATAGTGCTTATTTGTCTATTAATAAAGGTTGAAAATAACTTTACTATATATACACATTAACTTTTCTTTCATTGCAAATTAGTAAGAGAATTAGTTGTCATAAGTTATAAGAAGTGAAGTTAATGTTCATTTATTCTGTGCTTTATTTAGCTAGGAAATCAGTAAACATTTTCAGTGCTAAGAGAGTTAACAGAGGGAACACAAGCTCTCGGTAGAGTTTTAATAGAATCTAGTGTGAACTGAAGAACGGTTGAGAGGAAAGGCTAAGACAGACTGTATAGTTAATAAGCAGTCCCAACTTTTTTCTTATTCATGTGCTTTGTGAATATCGCTGAAAGAATTGCAATCTGTCAACCAGTTCATAACAATCACAGATCTCTGGGAAAGTGTGAAAGCATTCTCCTGACCTTATTGGAAAGTCTGAACATCTGAGCCTAATGAAGAACAGTGGCTTTCAGGGACTCAGCTTAGTTCTCTGTTCTTTCACCAAAGGTTTTTCTGTGGTATGGGTTCATGCATGTATGCTTGTGTGTGTGTGTGTGTGTGTGTGTGTGTGTGTGTGTGTGTGTGTGTGTGTGTGTGTGTGTGCTGCTTCTGTTCCTTTAAATTTAAAAAGACTTCTA